AATGTTTCATAATTTTTCTTTCAGTCTTCGGTCTATACCTTACTAAAGTATTGCCTTCTTCTCAGTCTTCTCTGCTTCCTTCTCTTTATCCCATCTTCATCCAAAAGACGAACTATATCTCTTGCTATGGACCTGTATCATTAAACATTTATTTCATTTAATGTATTAAAATTTTACAATTATTGACTATTTTTGAGGGCAAACATTATGACTTCTGAGCCCAAGAGAACCACTACCAACCAAGGCTCAGCCAGTCTTAACAATGGTTTTTGAAGGGTGAAATTTTTCAATACAACTCTCAACTGAAAGACCAAAATATTTGTTATACCCGGGTATTTTACTGAATGGTTCATGAAATATAATTATACATGCTTATAGATTCCGTGCAGTCAGCAATTTTTGGGAACATGACTCATCATTTTTAATGCTAACTGTTGCTACATTCTGTTGCATTGGATGGGCATGGTTTAATCAGTCATTGGAATATAGTGTTTTTTATCAAATGTTTCTCAATGAATCAGATTCAACTAATTTACATGAAAGTATAACATCAAAATATTTGCATGTTTGGATGTATTTAATCATGGATGGAGGAATGGACTGACTTTGATTATATACTTACCTGGTAATATTCAGCTGGTGTTTCATTTTTATAATTCTTCTTAGACTTTCAGCACCTGAACATCCATTCAGTATTTCTCTCTACAGAATATTGTAAATTGCATGTATAAGGTTTGCTCTATACAACTTTATATGTATTTTAATTAATATATGCAAGTTTTAGCATAATTTTCCGAATTTAATAGTACACTTTTTCTCCTTAAATACATGTACATGTGTAATGTATGTAATTTTAAATTTTGGCAACAGTGATGATTTAGAGCTGAAAAGACATCAGGGATATGAATTCCACTAAAATATGTCAAATTCCACACATCTTTCATACATATACATCCAACAAATAAGTTAATCATTGTGTTCTAAACTTTCATTGAAGAATTACCGGGTACTTAATAACAGTTAAAAGAACAGAAATATTTAACCTGCACGTGCACCTTTATATTTATGAATTTTCTAAGAAATAAAATTATTACCTGTGCAATATCAAATATTTCATCAAAAGCAATGTCTGCAAGCCTCCTTTTCAAACCAAGTCTAGGTAGAACTTTCCTTGTTAGGCAATTATAACTGCAAAATATTTTAATCACATAGAAGCATCATCATTGAATGACAATTTATGTATTTGATTAAAAGTCATGATACATAACTAGACTTCCAAAAGTATTTTTTTAAATTTTGTATTATAATACCTTATGTCACAGTTATGGTTTCTCTGGATCAAATAATGGATTAAACGGTAGTTAAAACCCTTATAAAACAATTCTTTTATCTTTTCAAGTATATCTAAAAGAGAAAAAGAAACCTTTTAGCATAAAGTACTGATCATTTTATTATATAATCTACAGTCCAGCTTATACAAGAACATGATCTAGAGGATTTTCCCGATTTTCCCCAGAATAATGAAGTTTAACTGTATATCAAAACAAAACATTGCAAATGTCCATTATTCATAAGATATACACTGCTGATCAGACTAAAGACAATGCTGAAAAGGAACAGCTTATTCTGATAACAGAACTGCAACAGCAGAACAGTAATTTTGAGCCAGGCTCATTGCTTTACTCTTAGAGCAATAATTGCCTTTTTGTCAGGGTGTTCAACTGGATATGCTGCTTCCTCACTGCCAATCAAATTTACAAGTTAAAAAAAAAAAGTCTGTATATGCTCAGACGCTTTTGAGACAATACAACACTAAAATTAAACGAAGTAAAGTAAACTGATAAATTTTCTTAACAAACAAAATTAATGGTAATGTACTTTGGTTTCTCCCATGTGCCATGATGTACTACGATTTATTAATATGGTTTTAAAAGATGCATGTATGCAAAAGGTTTTCATCCGGTCCCCCTCAGTGTCTGTAGCACATACTAAAAATAAAGGTAGCATAACCAGGATAACACTAATGCAGGGAGCACGTGACCTGTGGTACACTTTGATGCAGAACTTCCCACTGAGGACTCATCTGAGCATAAACGTTTGTCCTTGCTGCATCAATGTTTATTTTTGTACATGGTGTAAGACCCCAGAACGATCCATGTGATAAATTCAATGTTCACTATTCTGTAAATGAGCTCTGCTCTCTATACTTCTGAGTACTTTGATTTTAAATATCACTTACCTTGCCCAATCATCTTCACTTCAGCTTATAATCTTTGTAAAACTACAAATAAGGAATACAATACATATAACACCCAGTTCACTTCAACAGTATATAACTAAATATACGTTTACAATGTTAATGATAAGAAACTCCTTATACCATATGCTTTACTCTCAGGGTCATTCAGGGTTGCAAATAATTATTAGCCCACTCTCAAAATTTAAGTGTTTTGTCTGAAGGTAAGGGTTGATATTTTCCTGGAAAATTCACTAGCACAAGGGTTACTGATCATTAAAAATTTCTAGCCCAAACCTCAAACTAACTAGCCCAAACCTCAAACTAACTAGCCCAACAATTTTTTAATGCAAAATAAATTAAAACACAACAAAAGTAAAAGTTTCAAATGCTTTGGTAACAGAAACAAATTAAACTAGTTTTCAGTCAAAAGAAACCAGTTTACATACATAGAAAACAGAAATAAAGTCACAAGAATATTTTCTGGTCTGCTAGTCTGGCAGACTATATTTACATTTAAATTAGCTAGCCCTTGAAGTCTTAAAACAATTAGCCCCAGACTTTGGCTACCAATTTTAACCCCTGCTGAAGGCTTCAAACTCTTCAGGATATTATTGCCCACATAGCAAGTAAAAATCTTATTGGAACTTCAAAACATACTGAATCATGTCATCATTACAAATATCTTAGATTACAAAAACCAAGTGGAAATTTCAAACAAGAGGTATCTAACACCACAGAAAAACAATAGGGCATAGCTTTTTGGATTATGATAAAAGAGGATCCAAAACTTTTTCTAATCGAAATTGTGGAAATTAATTAAAAATGGAATTTGATTTGAAGTAAAGCAGTATGCATAAGGAGTTTGTTTCTCTTTTCTTTATAATTGTTTTCAACCTTTTATTTACATTAATGTGGACCCCAAAGCAACAATACAGGCTAGTAAAACTTGTGAAGTTAGGATCCTACATGACTTCTATACTTTCAGACAAGCAATATCAGTCTTAAAAGACAAGTGTAAAAAGTCATACCTTGTGGGCAATAACACCTTTGTGAGGAGCAACCGTGAGAGAATTAAATCACGCGCATGAAAGAAATTCACGCGCACATGTCTGAATTTCAAAAGTGCGAAGGAAAAATTCGCGAAAAAGAATAAATATACACATGCAACTTATTTGGAACTCACCAGGATTTTGACAAAAAGGTTGCATAATGTGTGATAAAAAATTTATCAAATCATATTCCCTCTTGCATAGTCAGCTTAAGAGTTACACAGAACTCATTTTGTTATATTCCGAATACATACAAAACCTAGTCTTTAAATCAAATTTACTTACTTTTGCATGTTGCAAAGACATTCTTTCAATACTTTTGCAATATGTACATCAACAACAAAGTTTTTCTGTCAAAATTAACATTTTGTCATTAGAAAAGCACAAATAATGAACTTGTACTAAATAACTAACTACTTTACATGCTAAACTAGGCTAGGGTTTCATTCCCTGACGAGAAAATTCGAACTAGGGGCCGTTGCAGAAGAAAGTTAGGTTTGAAAGTTCTATACCAGTATACCTTAACATTTAAGTTTGAAAGTTCTGTACTTTAGCATTTAAGCTTAAAACATTGCTGGTGTGGTGTTTACTTCTTACCGTGTTTGTCCTTGCTTGTAACTTTTGTTGTCGAAGACTGAGATCATGAGACTGTCACTTCAACAGTAAAATCAACTGAACCCACATGTAAGGATCTCTCTCACATAGACGCTTTGTATCCGTCACGCTAGAAATAATATTTCTTCACGCTCAAGATAATATTTCCTTCACGCTTCAAATAATGTGTGCAAATCTCTCTCACATTAACGCTTGTATCCGTCACGCTAGAAATAATATTTCTCCACGCTCAAGATAATATTTCCTTCACGCTTCAAATAATGTGTAGTCTGTCACAATAATAATCGTGTCTCCCAGCGTTTCAACATAATTATTGTTTCAACAAGGGAGAGTTTTCGTTCCTGTCACTAGAAAAGAAGTTATCTTTCCCGATGAGAAATAAAAATAAAGTTTCTACGAACAATTAAGGCGCACATTATTATTGTTGCAAATATGGTGTTTTTTTTTTTTTTTTTTTTTTTTTTTTTTTTTTTTTTTTAACGTGCATACATTTTTATTTCCATGAAAATGGCTTTTTTTTTTTTTTTTTTTTTTTTTTTTTTTTAAATTTTCAAACAGTAGTTGTTACAAGTATGCATTCTTATAAATCGTTGAAGTAAACGTAATACAGCTGTAATATGAATCTATAATATTGGTGCTAAATAAAAAATAATGTACACATCGATCGACAAGATTATAATTATTGCTGTTGGCAAGATTATAGTTGTAAAACATCAGAGGATAAATTATTATTATTATTATTGGGCTAAATAAAAATAATTTGTACACATATTATGGTAGTATAGTATGGAAACGTGATAATTGTAATTTTTGCGGGGAAATATAATAATATGCTGTAAATTTTTTTTTTTTTTTTTTTTTTTTTTTTTTATTAATTTGTGGTACAATTATAAATATATAGGAATGATAATAATGTGGAGGTACCCAAATTATTATTGTTGCAGAAAAATAATAATGTTGTAAAAAAGCAAGATTTTTGTTTTTTGTATGAGATAATTATTTTTGGTATAATTATAGAGGAAAAAATAATAATAATGTGGGGGTACCCTACGGCTTTCCATACATTCTGTATTCATCCGATTTTATATTTGATTTCCACCATGGGTACTAAAAATTAAAATTTTCGTGAGATTATTCCAAGCAATATATTACTCTAATGTTTTTGTTTGACTTTTTATCATAAGTACAAACCAGACTTGTTAAAACACATTGTGGTAAAATAAGCATAAAAAATTGAATGATGCTCTTTTTTCACAAACATCTTTGATAATGGGGTGAATTTTATTCATGCCGAACAAGTTACAAGAAAAGTTAACTTAAATTATTAACTTGTTCAAATGATACATGTACATGTAGTTATGATTTATATTAGCAATATTCAAAGCTTATTTCTCTTTTCATTTGATTTAGGTTCCCTTTACAGCCTACAATCTATGGTTTTGATAGACCTGTTTGGTATTGACAGATTAGTAACCAGTTATGGCGTGATCAATTTAAGTTTTGGAGTCGGATCTTTGATGGCCGGTCCAGCGACAAGTAAGTTTTTAGTTCCACGATATAGAATATCAAACGGATGCAAAGACATATAATTAATCAACAACAATGATAGTTAATGCCCTGTCGTTTAAAGCATAAAAATTCCACATCTGTCATTACTGTTTAATTAATTAAGATAAATATATATGAGTAGGTGTATTCAGTAGATTTTGTACCTTAGCTCTTTTTCTCTTATATACCGGAAAGTATGGGTAGGAAAGGTTTTAAAAAGACATGAGCAAAACTTTTGCACGTATGTCATTAAAACCGAAGTGTAAAATTAGCCATATGTATTCCTAAAAAAAACTAATACAAAAGCGAAATAAAAAAAAAAAGCAAATTCAACCCTGTCAACCTTTCATTTTCTACCTTAAAGGGTAAACTCTAAAAGGAACTAAATAACCCTCATGTATGTTTCCAATGCAATTAATAATCTGTTTTTGTCTTTAACAATTAAGAATATGATAAAACGCTCTAAGTGCCCCTATTTCAAGACAGAAGACGCAAAAATGACGGAAACTGGCAGGTTTGATCTGTTGTTAATAAAGGAAAAGTTGAATAACTATGCTACCAAAAAATCATATACCTTTATAGCAGAAAAGTTTATTTATCTATGTATCTTCTGAACATTTTTAGGTGCTTTGTCTGTGCTAGTGGATGACGCCGACTTTCCTTTCTATACCGCTGGAGTAATGATGGCCTTGGGTGCCGTGTCCTTGGGCTTCACTAAATGTTCTTGTAAAAGACTGAAATCAACACCACAGAGTGATTTGGAGTCTTCTGACTTGAGTGCGATCTTCGTCATTAGTCACACACCTACTATCGGGGCACCTGCTGCTTAAAAATAGAAAGATCATCGCTCGCTGCTTTCAGTCAATCTGGATACATAATAGTTCCGAAATAAACTTTGTTGCTTTGCTTTTGATATCCAGGTCAAACTTTTTTCATCTAGATTCATTTGATTTTTTGGACAAAATTGGGTGAGACTCCAAAGTTTGCTTTTCAAAAGAAAAAAAATCTACACAAAAAGATCCTTTATATTTTAAAAGATATGAAACTTAAATACTATTGAGACCATACAAAGTAAATCTAGTTACTTCTATAGCTAATGTTGGTAATTTTCTGCGATTTTTGCGAGTCTCATGAATTTGCAAAACCTTTGTTCTTAAAAAGCATGCTAAGTGCACTTTTTTGATAATGCATTTGCTCTTGGGTTTATAGAATGTTAAGGAATTGAATCTTTATATTTAGATTATCATTATTATTCACAATATAAACAGAGACCAGGAATTAGTAGTAATATGTTAATTTTCAATCAATGATTTTTATTATGATTACAAAAAGAAAATGATGGCATATACCTACAATGTAACACTTAAGTCTTATTCCGATATAACTTTAACTATTGTTATGTATATTCTTTTGGGGGTGCAATAAATTTGATCAATAATCCTGATTTTTAATATATTTCTGGGAGAAGGCGGAGAAGAAGAGAGATAAGGGTACATTTCTAGAATTCTACATATTTATGTGGATGATCTAAGCTTTATTCAGAATAATTTTATCTGAATTTTAGAAAAAAAATAATAAATAGGTGAATTGGAGGACTTTTGAAAAGTTGATTAAATACATGATTTCCATATTTTGGTTTATAATTTATACTCATTTTAAAAATATGCAATCTTTATTCTAAATATGTTTTGTCCACAAACAAATCTCTCTCTCTCTCTCTCTCTCTCTCTCTCTCTCTCTTAAAATTGTTGTAAGCATGTATTTCTTGTATGAAAAATATAATATTGTTTTAAGATTAAACATATCCGTTTATTCCAGTTCCTACATACAAATGTTTTACTGCAATCATTCAATACATATACAGATGTACAAGCTTTACAATTTTGTTAAAAGACACAAGTAATTGTTTATATAAAAAACATTTACCTGCATACTCCCTATTTACATAAATGTTTTAAAAAAAGTTTATATCAGATCGTAGACATGTTTCTTGCTTTATGACCTTTTAGAAAATTTTATCTATTGTACTAAGCAAAATAGCGGAACGCCTTGTCTAATGTGGATAATATACTTTGATTGGTATGCTGAAATTTTAATATTTATATCCTAATACTTCTCCATTATAATCTGATACTTCGACACTACATACTGAGAGTTTGTCTTAATATGAGTGTGCTTCAATTTATTATGGTACTTAGACATTTTAAAATTCCTATTTATGTAGATACTTTATAATTACATAAAAATTGCACGACGGCTTAAATCTCTTATTTATAAAACCCCCTTCCCCTTGAACAGCGGAGTGGGGGGGGGGGTGTTTTAATGATTGGGTCTCCGTCCGTCTGTACTTCCGTCCTTCCATCAGTCCGTCCGTTACGCTTTGGGGTACGCAACTCCTCTTATACCACTGAATAAAATTTAGTAAGACTTTCACAGAATCTTTCTTACATAGTGCCATTGTGCACCTCCTATTTTACTTTTTGATCGGAAATATATACTCGGGATTCCCATAGCAAAACATAGACACCAGTCTGCCATTTTTTTTCTGTAATATTGGGGGGTACCCATCTCTTATCCGCAACTCATCCAATACCACTAAATAAAATTTAATGATACATTCACAGAACCTTTATTACATAGTGCCATTGTGACATCCTACTTTATGATATTAAGAATTTTCCATAGCAAAAAAAATGGACTTTGCCATTATACTCATACGGGATCGGGGTTATCATTTTGGTGAGCTCAGTGCTCACAGTACCTTAGTCCGAAATATCTTACGTTTTCCTGGCTTTTTTTTACGATTTGATATTTTACGTTGGAGGCGGCGAATTCCCAGTTTTAGTAATGGCGCCGGTTCTGACGTTTTCCTGGCACGTAAAATATCAAATCGTAATAAAGCCAGGAAAACGTCATAAATTTCGGACTAACAGTACCTCTAGTTCTGGTTTTGGTGTATAGCTTGAACATTCATTAGAAATGGACAATTCAGTCTACGGAAGATATCAGGAAAAACAATAGTCAGGCAGCTAATACAGTTTGAGAAGCTCACTATTTCCAACAAAATAGAAAAAGCCGTAATCCGAAGAAAAAAATCATTTCAATTTGCGTAGACCTATTTATTTTTAGGTCTTCATTTACTTTGTTCGTAGGCACATATCGCAATGCTGTACACAACGGAAGTGTGTTTTCATATGAAGTTCAAATTTAATATACAACTGTGCAAAGAAAAAAACGTCTTTTACAGAACAATGAAGTAGCAACGTATATATAACGACTAATTTGTCTTTATAGTTTTAATGAATAACAAATATGATTATGATGTGTTTTTTTCAGATTGTATTACTCATATGCATGAAAGACCAGGCCCCAAGACCATAAACTGAGAACAGACTAATGTCAAGATTTAGATATTTAATATCTCAATTTTTATATCAGAAAAATCATTTATAAATTGCACAAGTTTGTACAATATTCAAATACAAACTCATTCTGAAAAATTGATTTTATTTTCAAAATTATTTTACAAGTTGTACTAATTTGAAATTTTGATTTAAGTCTGTTCTCAGTTTATGATCTTGGGGCCAGGATATGTTTTATAAACACAAATGCCCAGAGTAGCTATCTCTAATGAAAGACAATAAATTAAATGGGTTTAATCAAACTACAAAATAATAACACGAATTAAACTGTCAACATGGCCGTAGGAACCGGGGGGCACGGGGGGACCCAATAATTTTGTCGATATAGAGAATACTCAGAAAACATAGCTACTATGCTTGTGCCCCTCAATAATACGTCTGATGATTTTTTTTTTATTTTATTTTATTATTATTATTATTTTTTTTTTTTTTTTTTTTTTTTTTTTTTTTGCTTATGAAGGAAACAAAACCTTAGATTGATTGATCAATTGTATGTTGTTTTACGTCCCATTTGAGAATTTTTCACTCATATAGAGACATCACCATATACCGATGAAGGGCTTCAAATTTTGACCTTTACTCGGCACTCAGGGCCATTGAGCAGTGAGGGATCTTTATCATGCCAACGCCTTCCGTGACACGGGGCCCCCGTTTTTAAGATCTCATCCGAAGAACCCACAACTTTCACCTCAAAGTGCCGAGCGCATGGCGAAGGAACAGTTGCTACCCATTTTTTATCGACTTAGGTCAGTCGCGGAAGAGATTCAAACTCACGACCTCACGATCACGGAGCGAGCGCTCTACCGACTGAGCTACCGTGAACGGTAGAAAACATTAGACAACTCCAGTTATATATGGTAAAAAATATTGATGGTCTAATATAAATCTCAAACTCTGTCAAATATAAAGGTTCTAAATACTATGGTTCAAAAGTTATTATTAAGGATTAAGTTTATGACAGAATAACACACACACACACACACACTCACACGATCTCGCGAGGCATAGAAATAAATTACACAACACGGGACAGTTTGATATTAAAATGAAAGGTACTGTGAGCACCAGGCTCACAAAATGATGTCCCTCCACTACCATATGAGTTTGATGGTGAAGACCATTTTTTGCTGTGGGAAACCCAAACTATCTGTCTGATCAGAATATGATATAGAAGATGCACTATGTGATAAAAATTCTGTGAAAGTCTCATTCAATTTTATTCAGTGGTATGGGAGGAGTTGTGGATAAAAGATCGGTATCCTCAATATTATACAAAGAATAGCAGTGGCCGTATTTTGCCAGGGATACCCCAAATATATATGTGTCGAAATGGCACTATGTAATAAAGATTCTATGAAAATCTCATTGAATTGTATTCTGTGGTATAGAATGACTTGTGAAGAAAAGATGGGTATCCCAATATTAAGGAAAGATGGGTGCATGTTTTGCCATGGGAAACTCGAACAGAAAGAATGGCAGTGTCTATGTTTTGCCCTGGGAAACCCAAAATATCTGTCTGGTCAGGATATAAAATAGGAGGTGCACAATGGCACTATCTTATAAAAATTTTGTGAAAGTCTCATTAAATTTTATTCAGTGGTATAGAAGGAGTTGCGGATAAGAGACGGATACCCCCAATTAGAAAGAATCGCAGTGGCCATATTTTGCCATGGATACTCCAAATATATATGTGTCCGATCAAACGTAGAAAAGGAGATGCACAATGCATGGAGTTATGTAATTAAAATTTGGTGAAAGCTTCATCAAATTGCACTCAGTGGTGTTAGAAGAGTTGCGGTTAAAGGAAGTGTGACGGGTATAATGACGAAAAAATCCTCATCACTATATATCCCCACTTTTCAAGATGGGAGTTATAATAATTAATGCTCGTTACATGCTTGTTGCAGGTGCCATAACAGTATTACGTTGGAGGTTCACGTCAAAATATTTACGATGCAAAACAATTCTTAAATTTACAATCCCATTTCGGGTATTTTTTGCACGAGACTTGGACTGATTTTTTTTATGAGATGGAAATCTATATGTAAACTTTCTGATTGTACCAGATTTATTAAAATTTTGGGCGTGCTGAATTTCATGGGTGTTGTATTTGAAGGGGGAGTGATCAGGCCCTGTACTTAATTTTCAAGAACCTCTCAACTTCGACCGAAACAAACTTGCGTGCCATGCTGGATGGCAATGCGTTTTTGGTGCTAAAATGTATACAGATATTTGAAAATGGATACTCTCAAAAGTTTGTTTTATACCGCCTGGATTTAATACTGTAGTGCCACCTGCAGACATCTAGATTCAGCATCGAATAAAAACCTGAATTGTTGCAAACCTGTAATAAATGTCTAAATTTTAAATTGTTATAATTCACGGTATAATACCTCAATCCAAATGATCGGGAATACAATTTGTTCGACCCAAACAATATCAAATCACTACGGAAGCCCATTTAGGACCTATCAAAATTATTTTGAATTCGATATAACGAATTATTGAATTTACTAAAACGAATTTAATTCGTTATAACAATTTCCTTGAATTCGTTATAACGAATTAAATCTGTTATAACAAATTTGATGAATTTGTTATAACAAATTCAACAAATTTGTTATAACAGATTTAATTCGTTAAAACGAATTATAAAACTTGTTATAACGAATTAAATTCGTTTAAACGAATTCGACAAATCGTTATATCGAATTCATATAAATTTTTCTACCGACCCTGAATGTTGAATTTGATTAAACGAATTTAATTCGTTATAACAAATTTAAGAATTTGTTTAAACAAATTTAATTTGTTATAACAAATTTTAGAATTCGTTTAAACGAATTTAATTTAATATAACAATTTTTTGAATTCGTTATAATGAATGCAACAAATTTGTTATAACATATTAAATTCGTTATAACGATTTCAAAGAAATTGCTATAACGAATTTAATTCGTTATAACAAATTTGACAATTCTATATATGGAATTCAAAAACATTTGTTGATAGGTCCT